GGCGCGGGTGCGGGCGGAGCTCACGGGCTCGCGGTCTCGGGTTCGAAGAAGCTCGGCTGGACGAAAAAAATAATATTACAATAATATAAATTAAAATATTTTAAAATAGTGATTAATAATTAAAATAAAATACCACAATTATAATATATATGATAAATACAATTAGGCACATAAAATCATTTAAGCATTTTAGACAATTAATTACCAATAATAATAGTATCCACAATTAACGATAAAAATAATAATAATAACAATAATCCAAATTATTCATAAACGAACGGGGCGTCACATAAATTCATGATAAATCGCACACTGATCGGATTGCTTTGAAATTTTAGATGTAACTGCTTCTGTTAAATTTATAGCTCGTGTAAAAATTTCATGATTTTTTTCATGTCTGTTACTATTTTAAATAATTAAAGTGATTTCTAGACAGAATCATGTTAAATGCGTAATAAATTGTTCTGTGCTTCAATTATGCTGAAATTTGAGTATGTTATGCCTCTATCATATTTATACGTTGTGAAAAATTTTTACAATTTTTAGACTAATTTTGATAAGGTAAATAATTTATTAAATTATTTTGCTGAAGTTGTTTTAATTATGATAAATTGGTCAGTTGCTGAAAAATTCTGATATTTGGCTGAATAGCTTGTTTTATGTGGAGTTTCATGCTGTAAAAATATAAGAATTATTGGATTTCAAATTGTTTCGGTTTTAATTAAAATTTGAAAACCCCAGAAAATTGTATGAATTTTCAAAATTCGTGTAGTTGATGTCAATGGCTAAAATGTTTATATGTTGTCATTCACATGCTGTAGTTTATGCTGTTAAAATGTCAACTTTTGAATCGATCATTAGGTCTGGATGTGAATTTATGTTTGTTTTTGCTGTTAGCTTATATGAATTTTATAAAATTGTGTATAATGAGTTTGGAACTGAAACGTGGTGGTTTTACTATGTCCAGCGAGGAGGATTTCATGTTATAGTTTTAGAACCTAACGCATTCAGAAGCTTGATCAACCTAATTGTGTGATTTATCGATTCTTTTTTTTTTCAAAAGAAAAAATGTAGTTCTTGTGTCAAAAGCTATAAACCGGATTTCTTGTTGTGGCTGTGACTTGTTTAAACTATCTTTTATGTGATATTTACGTGAACTTCCGTGTTTGGTTGTTCGAGTCTTAGTCCTAGAGTTCCAACGTCCACAGGACTTCATGAACAGCTTAGTCGAATCAAGTTCGATTAAGTCAGTTTTGTGTTTTCTGTTTTAGTCAGAGTAGATATTAATTGTAGGATCTTGACTTAATGTATGTGTTTGAGGAGTCAAGCCTCAACCTACATCTCTTTTGTTTTTGTTGTTATCAATCCGGAATCCAGGTGGGTTTGCTTATAAATTTTTTTATGCCATACGTGTTATCATGTTTAGTTG